AATACACATTCTTTTCAAATACACATGGAACATTGTCTAGGATAGCTCATATGTTAGGCCATAAAACAAGTTTCAGTAAATTTAAGAAGATTGAAATCATATCAAGTATTTTTACAACCACAATGGTATGAAACTATAAATCAGTTACAAGAAGAAAACTGGAAAAAAACACTAACATGTGGAAGCTAAACAACATGTTATTAAACAACCAGTGGGTCAGCAAGGAAATCAAAGAGGAAATCCAGAAATACCTTGAGACAAATGAAAATGAAACACAACATTCCAAAATCTTTGGGATGCAGCAAAAGCCGGTTTAAGAGGGAAGTTCATAACAATACAAGCCTACCTCAAGACACAAGAAAAATGTCACATAAACAATCTACATTTAAAGGAACTAGAGAAAGAAGAACAAACAAGCCCAAAGTTAGTAGAGGGAAGGAAATAATAAAGATCAGAGTGGAAATAAATGAAATAGGAACTAAAAAAACAGAGAAGATCAATGAAACAAATAGCTGGTTCTTTAAAATGATAAACAAAATTGATAGACCTCTAGCCAGACTCATCAATAAATAGAATAGAATAGAATAGAATAAAATAAAATGAAAAAGCCCAAATCAAATCTGAAATGAAAAAGAATTACAACTGATACCACAGAAATAAAAAGGATCATAAGAGAATATTGTAAACAATTATATGCCAACAAATTAGACAACCTAGAAGAGTTGGATAAATTTCTAGAAACACAATCTTCTGAGATTGACCATGAAGAATAGAAAATCTGAATAGACCAATTACTAGTAATGAAATTGAATCATGTACAAAAAACTTCAAGAAATAAAAGGCCAGATGGAGATGGCTTCACACATAAATTTTACCACAAATTTAAAGAAGAGTTAATATCTATCTGCCTGAAACTATTAAACAAAATTGAAGAGGAAGGAACACTTCCAAACTCACTTTACGAGGCCAGCATTACCCCATTACCAAAACCAGACAAAGACACTGCAGAAAAAGAAAACTACAGGCCAGTATTCCTGATGAACACAGAGGCTAAAATTCTCAAGAAACCAAAGTCAGCAATACATGAAAAGGATCATACACCATCACCAAGTGAGATTTATTTCAGGGATGTAAGGATGGTTTAACATTTGCAAATCTATCAGTGTGATACACCTCATTAACAAAACGAAGTGTAAAAATCATATGATCATTTCAGTAGATGCAGAAAAAGCATTGACATAATTCAATATCTGTTTATGATAAAAACTCAACAAAATGGGTATAGATGGACATTCCTTAAAATAGTGAAGGCCATATATGACAGACCCACAGTAATGAAGGCCATACATGACAGACCCACAGCTGACATCATATTCAATGGTAAAAAGCTGAAAGTTTTTCCTCTAAGATTAGGAACAAGGCAAGAATGCACACTCTTGCCATCTTAATTCAACATAATATTGGAAGGCCTAGTGACTGCTGGTAGGCATGGAAAAGACATAAAAGGCATCCAAATTGAAAAAAAGTAAAACTTCCACTATTTGTCGAGGACATGATACTATATGGAGAAAACCCTAAAGACCATCAAAAAACTATTGGAACTACTAAATGAATTCAGTGAAGTTGCAGGATACAAAATTAATATACAGAAATCTGTTACATTTCTATACACTAATAATAAAGTAGCATAGAGATTAACAGTCCCATCTACAATTGTATCAAAAAGGACAGAATACCTAGGAATAAATTTAACCAAGGAGGTGAAAGATCTGTACCCTGAAAACCGTAAGACCTTGAGGAAAGAAATTGAAGGCCACCCTCAAAATGGAAAGATACACCATGCTCATGGATTGGAAGAATTAATATTGTTAAAATGTTCATACTACCCAAAATAATCTACAGAATCAGTGTAATCCCTCTCAAAATGCCAATGACATTTTTCACAGAGCCAGAACAAATAATCCTAAAATTTTTATGGGCCCCAAAGAGCCAAAGCAACCTTGAGAAAGAAGAACAAAGTTGGAGGACTCATGCTCCCTGATTTCAAATTATACTACAAAGCTATAGTAATGAAAATAATATGGTACCACAAAAACAGACACCTGGATCAACAGAATAGAATAGAAACCCCAGAAATAAACCCACATTTATGTGGTCAATTAATCTACATGAAAGGAGGCAAAAGCAGATGATGGGGAAAAGGCAGCCTTTTTAAATAATGGTGTTGTGAAAACTGGACAACTGCAAGAGAAAGAATGAAATTGAGCCACTTTGTTACACCATATACAAAAATAAGCTCTAAATGGATTAAGGACTTGAACATAAGACCTGAAAACATAAGTCTCCTTGAAGAAAATATAGGTAGTAAAAGACCTGAAACCATAAATCTCCTTGAAGAAAATATAGGTAGTAAGCTTTTTGACATTGCTCTTAGCAATATTTTTTTGGATATGTCTCTTTAGGCAAGGGCAACAATAGCAAAAATAAATAAATGGGACTATACACAGTGAAGGAACTCATCAAAAGGAAAAGGCAACTTACTGAATGGAAGAAGATACTTGCAAATGATATATCCAGTAAGGGGTTGATACCCAAAATATATAAAGAACTCATACAACTCAGTAACAAAAACAAAACAAAAAAGAAAAAACCCAACCTGATTTAAAAATGGGGCCTGAACAGACATTTTTCCAAGAAGACATACAAATGGCCAACAGGCACAGGAACAGATGCAACATCACTAATTATCAGGGAAATGCAAATCAAAACCACAATGAGATACTACCCCTGTTTGAATGGCTAATATCAAAAAGACAAGAAATAACACATTTGGTGAAGATATAGAGAAGAGAACCCTCATGCACTGTTGGTGGGAATGAAAATTGGTGTAGCCACTATAGAAAATAGTATGGAGGTTCCTCAAAACATTAAAAATAGAAATACCATATGATCCAGCATTTCTGCTGCTGGGTATTTATCTGAAGAAAATGAAAACAGTAATTCGAATGAACACCTCTGTGTTCATTGCAACATTATTTACAATAGACAAGATATGGAAGCAACCTATGTGTCCAACACTGAATGGATAAAGAAGATTTGATGTGCATGTGTGAACAACATGGAGGTTAGGGGTGCTGATCCCCCCGCGTGTGTGAAAATCTGCATATAATTTTTGACTCCCCCCAGACTTAACTATTAATAGGCTATTGTTGACCAGAAGCCTTACTGATAGCCTAAACAGTCAATTAACACATATTTTATGTATTATATGTGTTGTATACTGTATTCTTAAAATAGAGAAGGGGCGCCTGGGTGGCTCAGTTGTTAAGCATCTGCCTTCGGCTCAGGTCATGATCCAAGGGTCCTGGGATCGAGCCCTGTGTCAGGCTCCTGCTCAGCGGGAAGCCTGCTTCTCCCTCTCCCACTCCCCCTGTTTGTGTTCCCTCTCTCACTGTCTCTCTCTGTCAAATAAATAAAAATAATAATTATAATAAAAGTAAAATAGAGAAAAGGCAATGTTGTTAAAATCTTAAGGGAAATACATTTATAGTACTATACTGTATTTATAAAGAAAAGAATCCATGTATAAGTGGACCCTTGCAGTTCAAACCCAATTTATTCAAAGGTCAACTATAAAATTGTCACTAAAGTTTTTTTGGAGTTGACATCTAGGTTGCAGAGAGTTTTTGAGACAATATGCAAGATCACCCGGGATATTTTGAAATTTGGGGGTTAAGCCTAAGAAATAGCCTTTATCACTTCTGCCTACATTCATTGTCTTGAACTCAATTTCATGAGCCTACTTAACTTCAGGGGAGACTGGCTAAAGTAGTTTGTCTGTGTGCTCAGGAGGAAAATGAAAAAAGATTTAAAATATGTAATGTGTCTGCTTTAGAGCCTGTTGCTGCAACCAGGAAGTGATAGTTGTCAGTTTTGTTTCTGAAGATTTAATGATTTAGAATAACGGTCATGTGGCAATTGTCATTAAGTGTTTTTAACGGTTATAATTAAAAATCATCATTTGGGACTGGCTAATATGGAAAAATATAAAATAATATGTTTATTAATGCTGATTAACATTAGAAAATACTTGTAGGAAAATATTTAAAATACTTAGCAAAATGATTCATTATACTTAAAACTTAAAATAAACTGTATACAGATAATTGGTATGCTAATTAAATAATATGTATGTATTAAAATAAATTTTAGTCAGGGTTTACTATATATAGTTTAGTATCTCATTGTGGTTTTGATTTGCATTTCCCTGATAATTAGTGATGTTGCATCTGTTCCTGTGCCTGTTGGCCATTTGTATGTCTTCTTGGAAAAATGTCTGTTCAGGCCCCATTTTTAAATCAGGTTGGGTTTTTTCTTTTTTGTTTTGTTTTTGTTACTGAGTTGTATGAGTTCTTTATATATTTTGGGTATCAACCCCTTACTGGATATATCATTTGCAAGTATCTTCTTCCATTCAGTAAGTTGCCTTTTCCTTTTGATGAGTTCCTTCACTGTGTATAGTCCCATTTATTTATTTTTGCTATTGTTGCCCTTGCCTAAAGAGACATATCCAAAAAAATATTGCTAAGAGCAATGTCAAAAAGCTTACTACCTATATTTTCTTCAAGGAGATTTATGGTTTCAGGTCTTTTACTACCTATATTTTCTTCAAGGAGACTTATGTTTTCAGGTCTTATGTTCAAGTCCTTAATCCATTTAGAGCTTATTAATTTTGCAGCTTTTCCTTTGAACAATACATGTTATCTATTCTGTGAATAGTTAGTATTACAGATGTCAGTTTATATAACTGTGTGAAATAACAAGAGAATTATGAGACAGTATGTCATGATTCATTCCCATGTACTATGTTCTTCAGTGACTATAATCCTTCACAACTGCTTACTCTTGCACTTGCTTTTAAGTTTAAAGGACATTTTCCCCTCAGAACTGTATGTATAAAATAGTAGTACTAAAACACATTTTAATTTTGTTTCTTTTAGGCCTATGGCATGTCTGCATTACCTTTAAATCTAATAAAAGGCACCAGAAGTGCTGCTTATGAACGTTTAGAAAACACTGAAGACATTGAAGAAGTGGAGCAGCACATTCAAACGATTAAATCAAAAGTGAGTTTTTATTTTATTGTATTTGGGAAGTATAAAAGCACATTGTCTTTGCACTACTTTCTGATATGACTTAGACATTGGCAATCCCATATATTTGACATCATTTGAATTTTTCAACATATCCTTAACAAACTATGTCCATGGTTTTAAAATTTGTCTTCTGTGAAATGCAAGACACTGACAATTTGAGAATTTCTATCAATGTTCTAACAAGTAAAAGCAAAAGTTTTGCTCAGGTATGATCAAGACCTTGCTTATTCTGAGGTATGTTGATTTCATGTGTAACATCAGATTTTACTGTATCACTTATGTTCAAGTTTTATGTACTAGTGGAATAAGCTAAAAATTGCATGTAATCACTTGCCCATTGAATGTACTTCTAAAAACATAATGAAGTTTCTTTCTCTGTCACCTTCAAGTAACAGATAAATATTATTTATAGAACATATTTATAGAACAGATAAATAATACTTATAGAACACATAAAACCTATTTATAGAACATTTCTAAACTAGCTAAAACTAAATAGTATTAAACTAGCATAATCCTGATACAGGAATCGGATGATAATTGCATACAAAAAAGAAGACGACATATGTACTGGTCTCTCATGAACATAGAAGCAAATGTTTTAATATAAGGAAAAGTATTCGCAATTCAAACCTGTGCTGTAATAAGAATATTTTATAATTATCAGATTAGGTTTATCCTAGAAATTCAAGGATGATACGTTAGAAAATCTACTAACGTAGTTTAATGTAGTGAGGATAAATGAGAAATATAAGCATTTTAATAGCTGCTAAAGAATATTTAGTAAAAGTCAATTTGTAGTTATGTTTTTTTTTTTTTTTTTTAAAAAAGCCTTACCAAATTAGAAGAGAAGAGAGTACTTAGGAAAGGAAATCTATAATGAGTGTTGTCATACTTAATGATGAATTAAACATTCCCATTGAAGTCACACATAGGTCAGTGTGGTCGGTATCATTGTTGCTCATTAGCATATTCCTGGAGGTCCTTGTCAGATAAGAGAGAATGCCAGTATAAACCTAAGAGGGAGAGAGAGGAAAAGGGAAATATCCTTATTATTCACATATCATCTACCAAGAAAATCTGAAAGAATGATTGACAAATTAATGGAACTAATAAGAGTTCATCAAAGTGCCTGGATACAAACATACCGAAATCATTAACCAGTTGGAAGATGTAGTAGAAAATGGTCTCATTCACAATAGCTGCAGACTATAAAATAATAAGGAATGTCAGAATCGTCCTGGTAGAAATTAAATAAAATTTATTGCAATACATAATAGGAGACTGAAATATATGGAGAACTTCATCAGTTCCTGATTGGGAAGATTGAATATTATAGAGATGACAGTTTTTCATAAGTTTAGGTGGAAATTTATAAAAGGCAAAATATGAAATTTTCGTAGACCCCCTGAATTCAGATCAAATACAAAATTTACAAAACATTAGGAGAAAGTGAAAGTAAAATTTTATCTTGGTGTACAGAAGGCCTTTCTAAACATGACACAAAAAAACCCCAAATGCTAATTGAGAGATTGGTGAGTTTTACTTTTTTTTTTTTTTTAAATTTATTCGACAGCACAAGTAGGCAGAGTGGCAGGCAGAGGGAGAGGGAGAAGCAGGCTCTCCGCTGAGCAGGGAGCTGGACGTGGGGCTCGATCCCAGGACCCCAGGATCATGACCTGAGCCGAAGGCAGCCACTCAACCGACTGAGCCACCCAGGCGCCCCTACATTTTTAAGTTCTAAAATTTATGTACCCAAAAAGCACCACCAAAAGGAAGTCTATAATGTAGGAGGAAATAATCTGCAGTATGAGTATGTATAAAGAACATCTTCAAATCAGTAAGAAAAAAGGACAAGCAATACATAGAAATAATGAACAAAAGACCCAAATAGAGTTTACTGAAGGAAAAATTAAATTCTTCAGTGAAAAATATAAAATGATGCTTCAGCTCTTCAGTAGTAAGTAGGTTGACCAAGCATCCCAGTTTGCCTGGGACCTGAGGGGATTTTCCAGGACATGGAACTTGGAGTACAGAGACCAGGGTGGTTGGTCACCCTGTTATCAGAGATAGTAATCAGAGATATGCTAATTAGAGCATCTCAATATTTTATCTTTTAGAAGTCTTTAAAATTTTTACCTTTGTCAGGTATTAGTGAGATTTTGGGGATAGATACACTGCTTGTGGGAATGTAAAATATACAGCTTTTTAAAGAAAATTGTATGATATGACATGTGCCTGTACACACAAACACATCCCTTTTAATAAAGTTTAACCAGCAGTTGATGTCTGGGAGCATCTCTGACTCAAGTATATGTATATACTTATATCTGGGTGAAGAAGGATGTTCATGCACATTGTTAATGCTTCCCAAAAAAGAAAACAATCTAAATGTTCAAAAATAAGGTATTTATTAATATACCATGGTATAATGTGGTATGCATGAGGTAGATTTATATAGACTGAAGAATATATCTTAATAGAATCAAATCAGATTCTCTCAGTTCAAAATCTAGCCCTCCTTATTATGCATATAATTATCTGTGGGCCTTATTTTCCTACTCTAATAAATGGAAATAATATTACTACCAACTTCAAAGTTATATTATGAAGATTTAAGGAGAATAAACGGTAAAGAACAGATCGGTTTTAGGCACAAGAAATGTGCTCAAGAAATGTTAGCTATTATGTACAACAGAAACCCATACGAATATTAACAGATATGCATGCATGCAAATACACAGAAAATGTGTAGAAGGATATTGTATTGCTTAATGGAGGTAATAGTAGGAAAGGGCAGTGGTACTCTGGGATAGTATGAAGGGAAGCTTTCATGTTTTACTTTTTTTAAAACAAAAGGTATGTATTCATATGCTTTATAATTACATTTTTTTTTCCAGATGAGATAATTAGTTGACTGCTGGGTTTCTATCCTGGTGTTTGTTTCTCTGACCAAAATTATTCTTATATTGTTTTGGTCAATAGGTGAAGCAGAGGCAAAGCCCTTACTCCACTGAAATATTCACCAAGTAGACAGATATATAACTTGGGTTTATTTTTAGTGGACTCTTAAATCGGTTTACTTTTTTTCTGAAATAGTGAAAGCTAGTTGTTAAATAAAACTACCTCATTGTTGGTATCCTTTGGATATTAGAATGGCATTTCTGAGAAAAATTATATGTTTACGATACAAAGTACTGTACCTTTCTCATGCCACACACTTGAAGTATTATTGCCTGGATCTATCTTCTAGAAGGGAATGTTTGTTTTATTCCTTTGTCCTTCCAAAAATACCTTTCTCTGAGGTTCCTTTTTCTTGGGAAGAAGTTCGATAGTACCCATTGTACTTAAAGGAATGAAGATAATTAAATATAGTCTAGTGTATGCAAAGTATACAGTAGCACCAGCATCTCCTGGGACTTTGGTAGAAATGCACATTTTAGGCCCCACCCAAGGCCAACTAAATTTTATTTATAGGGTCTAGAAATCTGTGTTTAACAAACTTTTCAGGTAATTGTTATGCATGATAAAGTTTGAGAAGCAGTTTGATAAAGTATGGAAGACGACGGCTGGTTCCAGAAGAGTATGGCAGTGCCATTATGTAAAGAGATCATTATTACTGTGTAGGTATCTTTATTAAAGAATATTTGAATATTGTCTTCATTATAGCTGTGATTTCAGATGAGGCTGCACTGCATATGCTAGAGAGCAATTTTGTTGTCTCTCTCTTAAGAACCTATTTAAACCTGAATAGGGATATTAACATTTTAATATCTGATGTCTTTACATTTTATTTTTTTAAAGATTTTATTTATTTGAGAGAGAGCGAGCACAAGCATGAGTTGGGGGAGGGGCAGAGGCAGAGGGAGAGGGAGAAAGCAGATTACCCACTGAGCAGGGAGCCCGATGCAGGGCTCAATCCCAGGACCCTAGGATCATGACTTGAGCCGAAAGCAGACACTTACCCAACTGAACCACCCAGGTGCCCCTGATGTCTTTACATTTTAAAAATGCAGTTCCATGTAAATATTTTTCTTGTTGCTTCCAATAAAAGCAAACAAATTTATGTTTCACCTTTTTGTACTTAGCAATTGTCATATTATTGTAATTAATTATTGTATCCAGTTGAAGATACTTGGGGGCAGGGGAGTTCAAGCGGGAAAGTGTTATCTTTGAACCACCATTGAGAAAGGTACTGCTTATGGTTATAGTAAGCATCACATAAAAATAGATGGATGAGGGGCCCCTGGGTGGCTCAGTCGGTTAAGCGGCTGCCTTCGGCTCGGGTCATGATCCCACGGTCCTGGGATCGAGCCCCGCATCGGGCTCCCTGCTCAGCGGGAAGCCGACTTCTCCCTCTCCCACTCCCCCACTTGTGTTCCCTCTCTCGCTGTCTCTCTCTGTCAAATAAATAAATAAAATCTTTAAAAAAAAAAAATAGATGGATGAAAGTTACCTCTCAGTAGGCTGGCCAAAGAAAACATGACTTATTTGCAAAAGTACTTGGAGAATAAGAAAGTGACATTTCTTAGCAATTGTTATAAATACCTCTGCATAGCACATACTAGTATTACATCCCTCTGCTGTATTTGAATCAGGGGCTGACCAAAGGGAGAGAAGGGGTAGAACCAAATATATTAAGATAAGGGATAGAAAGAGGAGCTTGGAGGTGAGAGAGAGTAATTGAACAAATTGAATAAAGTGCCCCATAAAAAGGGCATTTTTAAAGATATTTATCTCCTTTCCACGTAACTTTACCATATATTTGGAAAATAGGAATCAAGAAGTTCAGTATTAAATGTACACACATCTATATTTTGATGCTGATCTTGGTTCAGAGATGTGTATTGTCACAAAGATGTCATTTTTTTTTTTTTTCAGTTTGTAAATTTGCCTAGGGAGTATCCAACCTAAAAAAAGGTTTTGTTGCATGATTTGATAAATCTGATGGGTACTTTACTAAGACCTTAATGGTAAAAAACTGTTTTATTTTGTTCTGTTACTTGCAGAGCAAAGATGGTCGACCTTTGCCAGCAAGGGATAAACGCGCCTTAAAACAATTTGAAGAAAGGTTACGAACACTTAGGAAAAGAGAGAGGCACTTAGAATTCATTGAAAACAGCTGGTGGACAAAATTTTGTGGTGCTCTGCGTCCCCTGAAGGTAAATGGAGTTTTAAAAAAATTATGTTGTCACTCTTTTCCCAAGTTTATATAGACCTCTTAGAGTAATTGAGTTCTCTTTGTGAGGAATTACAGCATGGTACTTACGAGCATGAATTTCGGAGTTAAAGTGATTTTGAATCATAGCTCTGTCACTTGGTAGTTTGGGCCGGTTACACACCTCTCTGAGCTTCATTCATTTACTCATGTGTAAAGCAAGTATTATAACAGAGATGCTGGGAAATTTAAATTAAAATATAAGAAAGTAATATAGTGTGTTGCTAACACATTTTGCAAGTTTGTACTTCTCCATAAATAGGAGAACTGGGACCTATATTAGAACTCAGGAACCCTATAAACTGAAAGTAATAGAATTTGCTTCATTGTTAGATGGTATGTTTCTGAAAGTATATAAAAAGGTATTATTTAGGACAGAAAACCATTAATTAGTCCGTACTGCCTCCCTCCCTCCTTCCCTCCCTCCCTTCCTTCCTTTCCTTCTTTTCCTCCTTTCTTTTATTTTTTGAAAGTATCATTTGCTAGCCATGAATTCTTCAGACAGTGGTACCTCCATTGAACTAAGGGCATAATAATACAACTCTGAGTCTAAAAAGTAGCTAGAACTGCTGGCCACAGATTTCTATATTGTCCATTCTGTATCTGGCATTTCAAACACCAAGCTATGTATACAATAGTGTGTAAGTTGTAATTTAGAAAGTGCAGTGAATAGACTGGTTTAAGGAAAGTTAGGCAAGGTGAAGCTATAAAGTGGGTTTTGGCTAAGTTTAAAAAAAAATGTTTTAGAGAGCCTCATGAAGGGGTTAGTCAGGTTGAGTTCTGCTTTGTCTTCCTCTTGTAATTAGAAAGGAAATAAGGAAATGCATTGACTGCTCACCTTAAAAACCTGCTTTTTGAAAGAGTTCTTCAAAAATATATCGTAATCAGATCTATTGTTTATTTTTAAACCTTCTGTTAGAATCAGTTTTATTGAAGAGTCACCACTCCTTTTTTGCGGGGTGATTGTCTTTATATCAGAAGTATGATGAAATCCTCCTCAATCTTTTTTTTTTTAATCTCCTCAACCTTACCTTAATTCTATATTTTTTATATGGCTTCTTTATAAATATTTATAACTGGTCTAACATGGGCTGCCTTGATTTAAACACACTCTGTCCTATTTCACTGAACCCATGTGTAGAGGGATTTTTAAATCAACTTTAATAAGTGTGCAGATTGATTTTGCCAAATACAGATATGTAGCTATGGAAGATCCACATCACTCCAAAAAGCTACTTGATGTCTTCCCCTGTCCCATTGAACTCAGACCCTGGATAGCCGTTGATGTCTTTCTGTCATTATAGTTTAATTTTTTGTGTTCTATAATTTCATGTAAATGAAATCATAGAGTGTAGTATAATCTTTTTTCTGACTTTTTTGGTGCAACAAAATGTTTTTGAGATTTGTCTATGTTGCATGTTTTCTTTCAGTAATTCATTCTGTTTTACTGCTGGGTAGCATCCTGATGTGTCTGTCTATGTCACAATTTGTTTATCCACTCACCTTTTAGTGGAGATTTGAGTTATTTCCAGTTTGAGATTATTATGAATAATGCTGATGTGAACATCTGATATAGATGTGTGTTTTCATTTCATTCATTTTTCTTGGGTAAATAACTAGGAGTAGAATTTCTGAGTGTAATGTTTAATGTACATTTAACTTTATAAGAAACTGCCAATGTATTTTCCAAAGTGGTTGTACCATTTCGCATTCCCACAGCAATATGGGATTCCAGATTGCTTCACATCCTTGTCAACTCTTATATTGTTACGTTGTAATAGTTATTCTGATGGATGTATAATACTAATTCATTATGGTTTTGATTTGCATTTCCTTGGTGACTAATGATACTGAGCATTTTTTAGTATTCTTATTGTGTATTTTCTTTAAAATGCTTGTGTAAATCTTTTGTCCTTTTTTTAAAATTTTTTAATGAGTGAGTTACAAGAATTCTTTATATTATGCTGCATTAAGTACTTTGTGAAATACATGTATTGTGAATGTTGTCTCTTACTTTATAGCTTGCCTTTATGTATTCTTAAACTGTCATTCAAAGAGATGTTCCTTAAATTTTTATTGCAATCATTTTCTCATATGTTTTCTTCTGGAAATTTTATGGTTTTAGCTCTTATATTTTAGGTTTGCAGTCCATTTTAAGTTAATATTGTGGGATGGTATAACTTAAGGGTTTATTTTCCATATGGATATTCAGTTGTTTCAGTAGCATTTTTGTCAAGACTGTTCTTTGCTCACTGACTTTCCTTGGTACTTTTGTCAAACCAATTGATCATGTGTATGTGTGGGTCTATTTCAGGACTTTCTTTTTTGCTCCATTGATTTATATGTCCTTATGCTAAAACTTGATTACTGGTATGTTATACAATCAGTCATGAAATCAAGGAGTATAAATTCTTCAGTTTTGTTTTTCTTTTTCAGTATTGTTTTAGCTATTCTAGATCTTTGCATTTCCATATAAATTTTAGAATCAACGTAGAATTCTACAGAAGACCCACTGGGATTTCTATTGGGATTACTTTGAATCTGTAGGCAGATTTGGGGAGAATTGATATTGTAAACTTGAACCAAATGAGAGTTTGTCCACCTGATGCACAGCAAGCCAGTAAAAACTGACACCAGCCTTTTGCAGTGAAGAACGATATTGGTGTGGCACCACCCAGGATAACAGGGAGCTAATGCTCTAAAGACCTGAGCTACCTGATGGCTTGCAGGTGAAGGTTTTTAAAGGCAAAATTTGGGGCAGGGGGCCTCCTGAGAAGGTCAGCCCCACTGATTGGCGGCCCATGTTAGCAGGTACTCTAGTACTGCTTTGTCTGGTGCCTCAGAGGTCTTTTCCATCTCAAGAGACTTGGAATCTGAAAAATACCTTTATTCTATATGTTAGAAATTTCATTAGGTACATTTGGTGATTATATCTTTACTTGTAAGCTAGTGGGGTTGTATAAAACAAGGTTTATATTTACAGGTTCCCTGGCCAATCCAGCCGTGACCAGGGATGGTAGGCCCTTTAGTATTCATTCTCTCAACTGACAAGATGGGTGCTGGCTTTAATATCTTAATACTGAATCTCCTAGTCCATGAACATGAGATCTTTCCATTTATTTATGATATCTGAAAGTTCTCTTTGCAGTATTTTGTAGGTTCAGCATAGAGGTCTTTCAAATATTTTGATAAATATATCTATATCTTTGTTTATACTGTTACACATGATTTTATTTAATTTCAGTTTTCAGTTATTGGCTTCTTAGTATGTAGAAATTTGTTTCTGTACATTGATCTCATATCAGGCTAAATTATTACTTCTAGTAGCCTTATTATAGATTCCTAAGGAATTTTTATGTACATGAACATGTTAGCTGCTAAAAGACAGTTTTATTTCTTCCTTTTCAATCTAAGAGTTCCAGGTGCTTTTTTTTTCTTATTGCACTGGCTAAAACCTCCCATACAATCAATTTACCACTTACTCTTTTTGTTATATAAATGTATTATTCTTGAATATGGATCTAAATGCTTACCTGTCTTTCATTTTCTGGGCCTGTTAGGAATAATAGGAATAATTAGGAGTAATAGACATGCCTGAAGGAAAACTCTGGGGATATAAACTTACTGTTCTATAATTGAGGGTTTAATATGAATGTGAAGAGATAAGCACTGCTTTTTTTTACTCAGATGAAATATGAAAATTATTCTTCAGTGTGTTTATGCACAGTTGATATAATTCAGAAATAGGAAGTCACATGCTCTAAGTGCTTCTTAAACATTATCATCCAAGTAGTCCTAGTGGAAGAAGGTAGAGATAGGCCCACTAATTCCTCTGCATTGCTCAGTACGTCCCGGAGGTGACTTAAGACCTGTGAGAAGCTCCTGATACAAAATTTCTTTGAAGTTATGCTCTATCTCAAAATTTTGTGCTAGTATTGCCTTTTACTCTGTATTCTAATCCATGTTTATTTTATTATAAAATGTATTAGATTTAAATTTTTGCAAATGCAAAAGTTCAGAGTTTGATGATTATATGATTTTTTTGAGAAAATATAATTTTTTTTCCTTAAGATTAGATCCCCTGAGATACCTACTGATCTTGTGATTTCACATTGCCATGTATTTTGCGGGGTATACATACCTCATTTCTTCTTCTTTTTTTTTTTTTTTTTAAGATTTTTATTTATTTGAGAGAGAGAGAGAGAGCACAAGCAGGGTGGGGGAGGGGCAGGGGCAAAGGGAGAGGAAGAAGCAGGCTCCCCGCTGATCAGGGATCCTGATGCGGGGCTCTATCCAAGGACCCTGGGATCATGACCTGAGCCTAAAGCAGACACTTAACCAACTGAGCCACCCAGGCATCCCTGCTTACCTCATTTCAGAGGCATGGATTTTGCTGTCACATACATCTGGTTTTGAGTACTTGTTCGGATCCTCACCAGCAATGTAAACTTGTTACTTCACCTTTCTTTTTCTTTTTTTAAAGATTTACTTATTTACTTCTGAGAGGTCGGGGGGGAGAGAGAGCACAAGTGCAGGGAGGGGCAGAGGGAGAGAGAAATTTTAGCAGACTCCTTGCTGAGCTTGGAGCCTGACACGGGGCTTGGTCTCACGACCCTGAGATCTTGACCTGAGCCGAAATCAAGAGTCGGGCACTTAACCGACTGTGCCACCCAGGTGTCCTGTTACTTCACCTTTCTAAACCTTAACTTTTCTCATCGTTATAATGGAGTTACATACTTACCTTATTTTTGTTATGGGAATTAAAAGAAATAATGTATGTAGTGTTAGTGCCTTTTGATGTAAACAGCTCAGAAAACTGCAGCTGCTATTGTTATAGTTCTATATATAGGATTTTTCAACTTCTTAAATGTTGCCGGAGAACTCAAGGGAAAAAATCAGTTTTGTGTTGTAGACATTTATAAAACTAAGCATCTAATTAGAATA